TAGCCACCCTAGCAGACTGGTGTGTTCGGAAACGAGAAGTCGGCTATTTATATATGTATATATGTATGCGCGGAGACGTAGAAATACTGGGGTTGCTGTCCTGGCGTGCGGTGTAACTACTAGGATTGATGGGACCTAAGCCTTTGATAAGTCATCCGTCTAGGAGAAAGATAACTTTAATGTAACACTCTGATGTAGCACTCTGATGTAACACTCTGGTGTACCACTCGCCTCAGTGCTAATCCAGATATCTCACATTTGCGCATCTTAGTAAATTCTTAGCATTATTGGTGTGAATCTCGACATAAGCGTTGCTGACGTCTTAACATCTTCCTTGTCAGCGATGGTCATACTCGGTATCTTTGTGTGTATCACGTGTTTACCGTATGGCATATGTGCATGTGCTTAATTCTTGAAATGTTCGCTTAATTTAAGTACCGTTTTTGCCGGCATATAAGGCGCACTTTTTTTTTTTACTAAAATATCTTTTAAAATTCCCCTGCATCTTATATGCCATATGTAGGTCTACTAATTTTATTAAAATTGGGGTGCGTCTTATACATCCGTGCTATCTTATATGCCGTCAAATACTGTAAGTATTTGTGAGAAAATTAAATAAAATTAATAAATAATAATAATAATAATAATAATAATAATAATAATAATAATAAAAGAAATACATTTTTCCATGATGCTAGCAATAAAGAAACCGGAAATTTTACTACACCATCTGGCTTCGTCAAACGTCCGTTAGGTGGCGTTATTAACTCTATAGCAAGAAAATCATTCTCCCGATTGTTCGAAGTGAATGCATAATACGGGATTATATAATCTGCAAATGTTTGGATGTTTCACTCATTAAGTACAGGTTTTACGAATATTGGTGAAATGAAAAAGTCTCTGACGAGTATTCTATGCTGATTATTTATTAATATTCCTTACATTTATCCGCTTTATTGGCGCCTCATAACCAGCTGATTCAGGCAGATGAAGCTCAACAGCCCAGGAAGGCTGTCCTTCTAGGGCAGTTGTTTCCAAACATTTTTCCTCTGGGTCGCATTTTCAGAATGAAAATTTAATCGCACCTCACTAAATTTTATGTGATAAAAAGTACCTTGAAAAATTAAAAAAAAACAGAGAGTTAAAGGAAGATAACTGCGGATTCGAAGTCAGAACATTATCATTGATAACTCTCTCCTCCAATTTGCGGAACCTAGTTACTATATTCTTAATACTTCATATAATGCAACAATATAGCAATGATAAAATCGGTCAATAATTCTTTATATTAGGACTCATGTAAAAACAATCCGTAATAATATTTTAAATTTTGAAATCATATTTATTTTTGGCGTATGAATTTTTTGAGACTGTTTCTAAATCTTTGATTGTCTTTCAATCATTCCGCCTCACCTGCTATCCTCTTCCGCCTCACCTGCTATCCTCTTCCGCGCCACACCGTTTGGGAACCACTGATCTAGAGGAAGGAAAACTCTTATTTAAAATCACTTCTTCCCGGCGCTCATATCCAACTAAACACGAAAAAGGCTATGGAAGTATATCTAAACAGAAAACTGGAGCCCCGAAAGCTGTTTGCTGTCAGCACTATCAACTTTCCGGCATTGGTGATATAAAAAAAGTACATCTTATGTAACATAGTATTTTATTATCCTATATCAATTCACCATATTTATATTTTAACAAATTTCTTACGTCTAAATCTCATTGAAGCCTTTATTAATATTTATTTTAAAATTTCATTAACTGTGAAAACCTTTCAAATTAGCGACAGCGTTTTTAAGTTGAAGGCTTGCTGTTGTCATTAATTTTTTTTTTCAGTTGTTTTGATAATGCTTCTTGAGAGCGAAGCATCAACTAAGTAAATAAGGTTTGGTTTATCGACATATCAACACCTATGTGAGTTATTTAATTCCTGGATTATTTAGGATTGGAAGTCCAGGTTTGGAATATAATTTAGAAGAAAAGAAGAAAGACTTTGGGGTTAAGTCACAGTTTGGGTAAAAGATTTACGGGAAGTGTAGGAAAATAATATTGTTAAGATTTTCAGATTATATTTTCGTGTAAAATCTGGCTTCTTCCAGGAATTGGATTATTTTGAAGGGATTGACTTTGCTGAAGACTTCTTTTCAGTTGTTTATTTGATAATATTATGTTTGAATTGGATTTAGACCAATATAATTCACTAGAATATGTTTCACTGTACATTGTTCTTAGCATACAGTACAGATTAATAGTTCTTTATTTTTCAGTGGGTGATTGTATGTAATTTCAGTATGATGACCCCCACGCGACAAATACCTCCTGATACCCAGTACATGGAGTATTCGATTGGCAACACTTGCAGTAAAAACTGTTCTCAAATTCCTTCTTTTGATGGCCATACTTAACAGTGAGATGGCAGCCATCTTGTATCAATTTTTATGGGTGTAACGTGTTTACCGCACGGTGTGTGTTTAATACTTAAGATGCTAGCATAATTTAAATGCATATTAAGAATTGGGTTAATTAGTATATTTTAATTCTATGGATAAATATGATGAATGTTAGAAGTGAATGCGCAATACGAGGTGAAACAATCTAAAATATTCAGATCTTAAATTCATTAAGTACAGATTTTACGAATATTATTTAGATAACACAAACAGTAATTACCCATATACCTCGGGGAACTGAATGTAGATTATCTAGAAATCCCTCAAATATGATTGATTTATCTGTTTAACGGCATATCAACTCCTCATTTGTCATTTAATGACGAAATTTAATTTTCTTGGAAGCATTAGTAATTTAAAAAATGTATCGATAGTAATTACTTTTACAAAAATGTACTGCTTGTAATATCTTTTGACCAAAACGTACAGCTGCTAATTTTTATTTACGATGTCTTGCTGTCACCTTCACAATAAAAATGTATTTCTACACTTTCATAATGTTTTGACCCCAGTTTGAGGGTTCAGTATTTGCTCATAGATGGGACCCTAACAGGTGTTACCACTCTAGGTCAGGGTAGACATGGGAACAACAGCAATTAAGAAGTGATTCCACGCTCCTCAAAACCTCCAATCGCCTGATCAGAGACCTTGCTGTCGGATATAGTTTATCGTCATACCCAGGACACCTCAAATATGACAATATTTAAAGAAACCGAACGTGGCTAAGAGAAGGCTTTATATAAAAATCGGTATAAAAAGCTTAATTGGTGTTTGACGTAACATCTGAAAGGGGTGACTAAAGAAGAAAAAGAAAAATAGTTTGGTTTAACTCCCCCTTAATTTAGAAAACAAAACTTGGAAGAATTTTCTTAGAATCGCTAATTAAGCATTTCCCCCAAAACTCCATGTTGTACAAGGTTTTTAATAAAAAGCAATGTAAAAATTACTTAAAGTCGCACGAAAAGGCGTAAAAATTAGCTACGGTTGCATGAATAACCTGGAAAAAATAATAAAAGGGCACAATGAAAAAATGGTTATGGAGAGAGCGACTGTAGGTACGAAAGCAGCCGAGAAAGATGTGACTGCCTAAATACGGTAAATTGTCCACTAAACGGTAACTGCCTAGTGAAGGGACTTGTTTATAAGGCAAAAGCAAAGCCTGTAAATAACAAAAAAAAAGTGTATATAAGTTCAACGGAAGGAACATTGAAAGAAATATATTACAAGCATAAATCATTCTTCAAACTGGCAAGCTATAAAAACTTGCTTGTTATATATGGCAAATGAAGGGAAAAAATAAGAATAGTACTAATGGGGTGTGGTGTGGAAGAACCATGGATTTAATATTGGGAACAAAATGTGCAAATTGTACCAGGAGGAGAAATTGACAATAATACAGTATCCTGACTAACATAAGCTGCTATATGAAAGATTGGAGATAATGGCAGCGTGAAAGCATACTAGAAGGTTCCTCTTAGCAATCTATGAGCCTGGGTAAGAATATTTATATTAAATAATTTTTCTCCCTATTCATTACTTCTTTCCTCCTCCGCTTTATTAGCGATATGTTTATGTATATAACAGTGTCTTAGGATAGAAAATTCAATTTGCTGCCTGACTATACCAAATTGATAGAAGCCGTAGTAACGGGAAAATTGGTTTTCGGGAAAATGTATGTCTTAAAATTCTCTGTGTTTGAATTTTTTTAAATTTTATTGAACGCTTTTTCATTAATATTTAACCGTCTCTCGACAAATATTGCTTTTTGTCAAAAGTTAAATTTTTTAATTGAATTATATAGGTGTGTGTGTATGCGTGTTTGTGTGAATAATGAGACAAAGTGGAAAAGCTTATAAACGACGCGTTTCGCCGATGTCCGTTGATCTTGGCTTTTTCAGATCAGAGCCAAGCTCGAAATAAACAAACGTCGACGAAACGCGTTGTTTCTAAGATTTTTCACTTTGTCTTATTATCCACACACACACACACACACACACACACACACACACACACACACACACACACACTTTTGTTTCGGCTACATTTGTACATCCAACAAACAACTGCATAGATAGATAGATAGATAGATAGATAGATAGATTGTGTTCAAGCACGAAACAAACTGTCACCGTTCGGTGTTGACCTCGGTATACACTCTTATATTTACACACGCTCTATCCCTGATTTTGACCACTATTACCTATAAATATAACATACCTAAAAATTATATTATATTATATATATATATATGTGTGTGTGTGTGTGTGTGTGTGTGTGTGTGTGTTTGCGTTTGTGTGATGTTTGTACTATTTCGGCAGGAAGTATATTCTTTAATGTGGTAAGAGATTAGTGCAAGTTGAATATTATACATCAGAGGTCGAGATTTTTGATGTCGAATGCCTCCTTCCAAATTTCAAGTGCTCACTGCCATAAGTACAAATTCAGTAAATCGACGGCACGTAATAGAGGATACAATAATAATTAACTAAATATAATAGAAAAATAAAGATTTCAATTTCGGACTGAATGATTTTTATCGTGTAAGAAATGTTTTGTACCGTGTTTCTTAGGAATAGGGTAAGCAAGATGTACCTTGTTTCTTAGGAATAGGGTAAGCAAGATGTACCTTGTTTCTTAGGAATAGGTTAAATTTCATTTGAAAATATGCATTTTTGCCCATGTGTCCAGACTTTAGGGACACAATATATATGAAAATTATTTTCATTTTTACAAACCTTTACTCCAAAACCTATTTCTAGTACACATCTAAAGACTATTTGTAATTCAACTGTTATTAATATTATATAAGGGTGATAAAATTTCTTCTTTTTTTTTTTTTTGGTGGAGGAGGGGTTCAGGCAATGAGACACTTTTGGATACTAAAGAACTTTCTTGGTCCAGATTTTTATTAGAAATTCTGTCATTTCAACAACTAAAAGGGAAAAACATTTTTCTTGGTTTAACACTACTACAAAAAATTATTAACAAACAGAACAGCAAAATATTTTCAGCAAATTTGGCGCAATTTAAAACAAGGCTACGCGGTTCTATTCCATATAGAATCTGTCATAGTAACCTCCTTTTGTTAAAGCTTTCTCTTTGTTAATCACTTTTTTCTCCCATTCTCTTCTGGTGTCCTCTTGTCTTTTGGTACCCAATACTTTTGGTAAGCACTTTCTCATTTAGTGTCCCTTTCTTTTTTGTGTCCACTGCTTTGTTAGTGTCTCTTTGTTTTTTGGTGACAATCCTCCGTAAGTGAAAATTGCTCTTTTGATACCGCCATTCTCCTATAGTGTCCACTTCTCATTTCGTGTCCACTTCTCATATCGTGTCCCCTTCACTTTTGGAGACCCCTTCCTTATTTAGTGTCCTTCTCCTGTTTTGTTGCGTCTTCACTTCTGGTGCCCTTTCTTTTTTCGTGTCTCTTCTCTTTGGGAGACCGTTTCACGCTAATTGTTCCCTTCTCTTTTGTCGCATCTTTTTTCTGGCGTCCTTTGTTAATTCGTGTCTCTTCTCTTTTGAAGACATCTTTTTCATTTAGTGTTCCCATCTCTTTTTTTGCGTCTTCTCTTCTGGTGTCCTTTCTATTTTTGTGTCTCAACTCTTTTAAAGACGGGTTCTCATTTTGTATTTCCTTATTTTTTGTTGAATCTTCTCTTCTGGTGTCCTTTCTTTTGTCGTGTCTCTTCTCTTTTTGCGACCTCTTTCTCATTTAGTATTCCCTTCTCTTTTATTGCGTCTTAGTTTCTGGTGTCCTTTCTTTTCTCGTATCCCCTCTTTTGGAGACGGCTTTCTTGTTTACTGTTCCTTTCTTTTTTATTGCGTCTTCTCTTCTGCTGTCCTTTCTTTTTTCGTATCCTTTTTCTTTTGGCAACCTCTTTTTCATTTAGTGTTTCCATCTTTTTTTTTGTTCAGTCTTCTCTTCTGGTCTCTTTTATTATTTCGCGTCTCATCTCTTTTGGAGACCTCTTTTTCATTTTGTTGTGACTAATAAATGGTTTAAAGAAATAACAAAACAAGTGTTATCGATATATCATATATTAAACAGTAAGTACAACGGTAGAGTATTACACAACTAGTGAGTGTGTGTCGGTTGACGCAGCGTTCAATCTATTCGACTGTTATATTTAACATCCCCCCTACGAGGGATGTATGTGGCACAATGCCGACTTTACCGTGGGTTCTCCGAGCCCGTAGGCTCGGCTAAAAATATTCCCTTTGAACCCGTATAAACGGGTTCAGGGCCAGTATACCTCCCCCGGACGAAACTTTGCCCTTCGGCAAAGCCTCGTCCGAGTTCCTCTCCGCCGAGGCGAAGAATTTGACAGTTGAACAATCTGTGCGTCTGTTAATATTTAACAGCCCCCCCCCACAAAGAATGCATGTGGCACAAGGCCGAGTTTACCGTGGGTTCTCCAAGCCCGTAGGCTCGGCCAAAAATATTCACTTTGAACCCGCCTAAACGGGTTCAGGGACTGTCTACCTCTCCGGACGAAACTTTGCCCTGCGGCAAAGCTTCGTCCGAGTTCCTCTTTGCCGAAGGAGAGAGTTCGACAGTATGAACAGTCTGGTCCACTGCTCCCCCAAGCCTTCTTTCCTACTAATCTTATAGTAGGCGGAAGAGTCCAACATAGATCTTTAGAGGGAGGACACGACAACACATTCAGTGTTTCCTTCTTTTTTTTGTTCTGTCACCTCTTCGGGAGGTCTTTTATTTTTAATTGTCTCTTATTTTTGAAGACCTCTTTCTCATTTCGTGTTCCCTTCTCTTTTATTCCGCCTTCTCTTCTGGTGTCCTTTATAATTTTGTGTCTCTTGTCTTTTGGAGTCCAATTTTTCATTTAGTCTTCCCTTTTTTTTTGTTGCGTCTTCTCTCCTGGTATCATTTATTAATTCGTGTCTTTTGGAGACCTCTTTCTCATTTCATTTTCTCTTACCTTTTATTGCGTCTTCACTTCTGGTGTCCTTTATTATTTCGTGTCTCATCTTTCTCATTTAGTGTTCTTTTTTTGGGGGGCGTCTTCACTTCTGGTGTCCTTTATTATTTCCTGTCTGATCTTTTTTCGTGACCTCTTTCTCATTTAGTGTTGTGCTTTATTGCGTCTTCTCTTCTGGGATCCTTTCTTTTTTCGTGTCTCATCTCTTTTGGAGACCTCTTTCTCGTTTAGTTTTCCTTTTCTCTTTTTAATGTGTCTTCTCTTCTGATGTCCTTTCTTTTTTCGTGTCTCTTCTTTTTGGAGTCTTCTTTCTCATTTAGTGTTCCTTTCTGTTTTGTTGCGTCCCCGCTTCGGGAGTCCTTTATTTTTCTTGTCTCTTCTTTTTGAAGACCTCATTCTGATTTAGTGTTCGCTTCTCTTTTATTCCGTCTTCTCTTCTAGGATCCTTTCTTTTTCCGTGACTCTTCTCTTTTGTAGACCTCTTATCTCATTTACTCTCCATTCTTTTTTGTTGCGTCTTGTCTTCTAGTGTCATTTATTATTTCGTATCTCATCTCTTTTGGAGTCCTCCTATCTCATTTAGTTTTCCCTTCTCTTTTTAATGCGTCTTCTCTTCTTGTGTCCTTTCTTTTTTCGTGTCTCTTTTCTATTGGAGACGGCTTTCTTATTTAGTGTTCCCTTCATTTTTGTTGCGTCTTCACTTCGGGGGTCTTTTCTTTTTCCTTGTCTCTTCTCTTTTGAAGACCTCTTTCTCATTTAGTGTTCCCTTCTGTTTTATTGTGTCTTCTCTTCTGGTGTCCCATTTTTTCGTGTCTCTACTCTTTTGTAGTCCACTTTCTCATTTAGTCTTTTCTTCTTTTTTTTGTTGCGTCTACTCTTCTGGTGTCCTTTATTATTTCCTGTCTCATCTCTTTTGGGGACGTCTTTTTCATTTAGTGTTCCCTTCTTTTTTGTTGCGTCTACTCTTCTGGTGTCCTTTATTATTTCCTGTCTCATCTCTTTTGGGGACGTCTTTTTCATTTAGTGTTCCCATCTCTTTTGTTGCGTCTACTCTTCTGGTGTCCTTTATTATTTCCTGTCTCATCTCTTTTGGGGACGTCTTTTTCATTTAGTGTTCCCTTCTTTTTTTGTTGCGTCTACTCTTCTGGTGTCCTTTATTATTTCCTGTCTCATCTCTTTTGGGGACGTCTTTTTCATTTAGTGTTCCCATCTCTTTTGTTGCGTCTACTCTTCTGGTGTCCTTTATTATTTCCTGTCTCATCTCTTTTGGGGACGTCTTTTTCATTTAGTGTTCCCATCTCTTTTGTTGCATCTACTCTTCTGGTGTTCTTTTCTTTTTTCGTGTCTCTTCTCTTTTGGAGTCCTCTTTCTTTTTTAGTGTTCCCTTCTTTTTTTGTTGTGTCTTCTCTTCTGGTGTCCTTTATTATTTCGTGTCCCTTCTCTTTTGGAGACTTTTTTCTCATGGGTCGTCTTTCTTATTTGGTGTTCCTTTTTTTGTTGTGCCGTCTGTTCATGTGTCCTCTCTTCTTTTTCGGTTCTCTTTTCATTTCCCCTTCTCCTTTGATGTTCACTTTCTCTCTTAGTACTCACTATAGTGTTCCCTTCTCGTCTGATGCCTTAGGGATTTCCTTATTTTGTTTCATGATTAATCCGGACCTGTTTATAGAAAAGCTCTTGACCAACAAATAAAAGTTTTATTGTTTAGTTGTATAATTCTATGGCATTGATTCCCAGATCTATGGACACGGCTGTGGATCTCAAGAATGCTCCTATGCAGGGCGGAATAGGTTACAAAAAATAATAATTTGAATAGATAAAATGTCAAAAGTAATAAAGCAAAATGAGGGGACAATTACATTTATACCTTAAATTTTAAATATTCGAGCAGAAAGCTTCTAAAATATAAAGCATCGATAAATTTACGAAAATACTTGGCGTATTCTAATCTCCATCATAGCAAATGCTATGCTGTCTAGACTGCTGAAGCCTGACATAATCGCAGTATCGTTTATTATTCACTCCAGTCATTGCCGTTTTGAATGACTGACTTGCCTTGATACAAGTCCGAAATATTTACATGAAGTTAAGCATTTCGTTTTTCTTTGATCAACATAAAAAATATTGATACTTATCCTCCTATATGGTAGTGAATGCTGGACAAATTCCTCGCTGATAAAGAAACAATGGAGGTGTGATTCTACAGAATAATGCTAAGAATACCATAGACAGAACATGTGAGCAACAAGGAAGGTTTAAGAAAAATGGAAACAAAAAGGACATTTATACTTAGATTCATAAAGAGACAGTTGAAATTTCTAGGACGCATAATGAGAACAGAAGGCATAGAAAATTTAACACTCACAGAAAATATTGAAGGCGGAGTGGAAACAACGAGTAACCTACCTAACGAGATTGCGTAGATGTTTGACAGAACAAGAAATAAAAGGGATAGTAATGAGATTAACATTACAAAAGATAGGAAGTCAAGGAGAGCCATGATCGCATACACCCTCAAAAGATATGGCATATAAAAGAAAAATAGGAAATTATTAGATATTTTATTGGCGAGAACTAAATGAATACAGAAATTATGTCTCCTCTCTATTTTCGTTATTGCCAGGGAAAAATAAAAAGTTCTGTGTTCAAAGTTGCCGTTTAAAAATATTTTGTTCTAGGAGATTGCTAATCCTGAAAAAGATTCTAACTTGAGGTAAATACTTGTATTTTAATAACCTTAAATATAGAAGTTTAAATATCTGGGAAGTCTTATAACAGACGATGGAAAATGTGACATCGAAATACGAAACTGCATTAGAATAGCAAAAGTTGCCTTATAGAAACTAAGCAATATATTGAAAAATAGGAAAATTTCGTTAGAAAAAAAGAAAAACTGTTAAACTATTAATATCAGCCGTCCTATATGGCAGTGGATGCTGGACAAATTCTTCACAGAGAAAGAGGAGACTTGAGGCCACAGAGATGTGGTTCTGTAGATTAATGCTGAGAATGTAAGCAACGTGGAAGTTTTAAGGGAAACGGAAACAGTGATAATTGAAGATTCTGGACACACAATGAGAAAAGAAAGCCTGGGAAATTTGACACTCACAAGACGTACTGAAAGCAAGCGGGACAGAGGGAAGCAGTGAGTAACCTACATAACGGGATTTTGTAAATGGATGGTAGAACAAGGACTGGAAGAAAGAGTAACATGACAAACATTACTTAGAGCTAGGAAAGATAGAAAGTTAGGGAGAACCATGATCGTACACGTCCTGAAAGAATACAGCACATAAAAAAGTATTGATTATTAAAGTAGTGTTCTGTAGATATTTTATTGGATTGAACTCTGTAAATAAATAAAAAAAAAATACAGCAAAATTATATCTCGCCCTCGAGGTCGCAAGGCAAAAAAAAAATCTGCGTTTAGGGTTTCGATCAAAAAACAAAACAAAATGAGAAAAAAAGTTCTATGAGTGTGTTAGCCTTGAAAAAGATTCTCATTAGAAGGATGATATTCCACGGTCATAAAAGTAACACGACAATATTAATATCAAAGCAACAATACCGATTTTAGCAGCATAAACTTTAAAATGTGCATATATTTTTGAAGCATCTTTTAAATGGACAAACATTTTAGAAAAGTTCTATGATGAATTTTTCCAGGCCTATAAGTGCAAAATTTTAAAACTGCTATTCCAGTTTATTCACATGCCAATACTTGTAAGCCTGACATAATCTCAGTATCGTTTCTTGCTCACTTCAGGCATTGCTGTTTTGACTGGGCACATAGTAGATTTAGACAGATTTTGGTGCTTTTAATTTTCTTCGACCAAAATAATAAATACTGAAATTTACTGATTATTAAATTAACAATTAACATTCAGCAAATGTTTATTGACTATAACTAAATGATGACATTACAAAAATTACGCTTCCATCCTAAGAGTCGCTAGGCCCCAAAATAAATAATTTTTTTGGCAAATAGTTTTCTAAGCACTAGTTAACCCTGAGATAGTTTCTAACCTGGGACGGATGCTGGTATTTTTTGTACTGCCATTCTACGGTAAAAAATAACGGGGCAATATTAATATCGAAGAGGCGGGAACGATTTTGAACGGAATTTCCTGATTTTTGCATGTTATAAGAGTTTTGAAGTATTGCTCTATTTTCCAGTGGTATCTATGTGTAGAATTTGAAAGGGCATTTTCTACGACCGGATTGCACCGCGTGGAATTAAGATGAAATCTTTCAAAAAAAAATTTTTTTTAATTAAAAAACCGTTCAAAATGTCTTTATTTTTCATCAGGGTTTTATCTTTCATTTCTTTTTTTTTTTAATTGTTTGAAAAAGAATAGTTAAAGTTTAGTTATAGATTTTTTTTTTATATTGAATTAGAAAAAAACTGCTTCTTATAAAAAAAGATATTTCTTTTACTATATAACGTTAATTAATAAATGGAAACATTACTTTAAAAGACAATTGCCGTAGAATTACTTTTAAACTTACAAAAAAAAGCAGTGATTTAGAAAAAAAAAGTGGGGGGTGCGAATTTCACTATCTGTTCTCTTATCAGTAAAAATAAAATACTCCGTATCAGTATAGGTATTGTGACATTCAGTTTTGGTTAGCATCACATTTAGGGGCTAAAACTGAACTTTTTAAAAACATGATTTATGCAAAGAATAAGGTGACGATAAACTAAAATAAATTGATAATTTTGATCTTTAGATGTACTTACAAATTTTAATTAAGTACTACTATTTATTATAAGTCCTTCAACTAATTTTTTTATATATTTTTTTTTTTATCATTTTTAAATACTCTCTAAATTTTGCTTGTCACAACTTTTAAAAAAAGCATAGGGAGAGACTATAGCAAAAGTGACTCTCCCCCCATATATCATATTTTAATGCACCCTGGTATAATGCTACTACAACTACTACTATTTTCTATTAAATCTACACCAGCTACTACAACTACTGCAAGTGTACTTTTCTTTTTGTTTCGTTTTTCTTTATATTGCAACTGCTACTTACACAGTACCATATACCCCTACCCTTTTGCGTTGCAGCATATCACATAACCACTGCTACCCCAGCTGTAGTACTACTGCGGCGCGAAGCTAAATACTACTGCCAGAAGGGGGAGGGGTTCTAGAGAAGTTCCTACTTCTACTTCTAGTGTTATTATTATTACTTTTATTTTATTTTATTTTTTTTATCATTATTATATAGTCACAGCCTCCACTGCCCGCGTTCGTACTGCCATTACCACTTCCTCTGATGCTGCTGCTGCTGACGACGACGACGTACCTTCACCACCACTACTGCTGCTACTGCTGATTATTCTCTGCTACTGCTGTTGTGTGCTTATATATATGTGAAGTCATCTTTCAAACAATGGTGAGAATTTCTTTGTCCTCAACTCGTCTACAAACTACATCACGGACGGCGCAGTACAACACGATTTGGATTTTATCGCAAGGGGAACGCTTTGTTGATGTTTTCTTCTTGTCTTTATTGTCCGTTGCCTGCTTTCAGTTGTGTTGGTAAGTAGAAAAAAAAACTAAAAGAAGAAGAAGAAGAAAAATAGATATATAAAAAAAGTTGAAGATGAAAAAAAAGAAAAGAAAAAAGTATGAAAACAGAAAGAGAGAGAGAGTGGGGGGACAGAAAGGAAAGGATAAGAGATCAAGTGCGCGCGAAGGTGTGTATGTGTCATGTGCGCGCGCATTACAGAGTGTCCTTGTGTGTGTATGTGTGTGTGTGTGTATGTATGTTTGTGCTTGTGTGTGTGTGTGTGTGTGTGTGTATGTTTGTGCTTGTGTGTGTGTATGTTTGTTCTTGTGTGTGTGTGTGTGTGTCTGTGCTCACTCGCGCGTGTGTGCCTTCGAAACACTGGACACTTTTTTCATTAAATGTTAAAATAACTCGTGTTTCTTCCGAACAAACCAACGTGGTCGTCAAGTTTTTAGTTTCAAAATAATAATAATAATAATAATAATAATAATAATTCAGTAATATTATTTTTATTTTATTGTTTACGTTTTGAGAACAACCGTAAAAACAAGAAAAACATTTTTTTGCGTAAAGAACTTGTCTTTTTTCTTTTCTTAAATAAAGTTTAAATAAAAAAGCCTATAAGAAGATTAAGAATGAAACAACATAAACTTTTTTCTATCTTAGGTTTTCGTTAAAAAAAACAAGTATTTTTTAAACACAAACATTCAACAACACTAACTCGCACATGTATTTGTTTATAAATTATATTTTTTTTTATTTAGTAACTTATATATTGTAATGTACAGAAATGTAAATTTGAATGAATTAATTAATTACACTTGAAAAGTTTATGGTAGATAGATAGATAGATAGATAGATAGATAGATAGATAGATAGATAGATAAGCATGTGTTTACACTAGTTTTGTAAAAATTACTTTTGTTTGATGGATGCATATTACATATCTATGTATTTATTTGTTTTACTTTTATTTAACAACGTGAATATTGTATACGTTTTCGTTTACCTATTATTTTCTATTACCTACAAAATTGCTTTTTTTTAGTAAGTTTTTAGTCCATAATGCAGTATTTCAATATATTTGTTTTTCTTTTATTGTGCTGATTTGGAATATATAAGTAAAGTAAAGAATTTTGTGTAGGGGGGGGGGAGGAGCTACTTCAGGAC